CGGCCCCAGAGTGTGCCTCTCATGTACTAGCATACAATTGGGTCATCAGTTTCTCTAAAAGATAATTACCAGTGATGCTTGAGAAACCCGGAAGATGGCTTAAAACAAATAAACCTACTGCTGTTCTGAATGTACTCATTTTGGTTCACTATAACAAGTGAGCAAGGAAATAGCAGCAGGAACATGCTGTGTATCTTGTTACCTCAGGTCACAGAGATGAGCACCGTTTCTCTAAAAGATGATTAACCAGTGTATGACCATTTGGATGAGAAAGGATTTTGTCCGCTGAATGATAAAAAAAAGATTTTTGATCTACCTTTTGCAGGGTGGGCAGAACATTAAGCCTAATTTGAAGCCAATAGTATTATTAACGGTAGTAGTAATAGAAAGTTGGATGTGCGAAACAGTTTCTTACCTTTGCCCTATTTATGGAACTTCAAACTGCAACATAATCTCAGCTGGCTTGATCATGAAGTCTCCCTGTACTACCCTTACACACACATACACACACACACACCTCTACATTCAGCTGATCAGAGTCTTTGAGAATCCTGACTGTCAGAACATCAATAGGCCTGAATGTATGGAGGTAAATCGGTGACAAAAACATTGAAAATGGACAGACTAAAAGTCACAAATAGATATTACAACTTGTAAACACATAACACAATCTACAAATAGATTAAAAATCTGCAAAGTTCTCATGATCTGCAAATGTAAAACACAATCTGTAAATAGATTTAAAATCTGCAAACAAACTCTTTATGATTCACAAATAGAAATCAGTGACTTGTTCTTGACAACCAGAATTTAAATTAATTCATAATGATTTGTCTGTGCATGAGGGTCATTATTTGTTTGTAGATTGTATTGTATTTATTTTCAGAATTTTGGCACAACTGTTTCGCTGTTTTTTCCCCATTAAAAATTCTACAAATGCCCTCCTCAAAATTTGCAAACACACGCAGTCAAACTTGTATTTTCAAACTACTGTAAAAAGACATTCTTACACATTCAGTGGAAAGCTCAGCATGCAAGTGTTGAATCTGTGTTTGCAGATCACAGGGCATTCACAGATCCCTCTGCACAGTCTACAGATCATTTTGGTTCTGAATGTTGTTGTAAACCACTCTCTGGGCTTCTCTAAAATGAAGCACCGATGGTCACCTCTGTGATCAGAATGTCTGCTATTACATGACAGGCACAAACTCGAAACGCATGCTCTCTCTAATCCTTCAGAATGTATGTGTATGAAATGAAAGGTGGTTACATTTAGCTCCCTTTCCTCTCATCCCAACCAACATGACGCAAACATCCCTTCATTTCCATATTGCCTAAATGTGTCCCAGAAAACTGACAACGCCTGAACGCATCATGTGCATCCCTGCTAAACCAGCTTCGTTAAAACGTTGCCACTCCATACGAATGCTCCCCGTCTGTTTGTTACAGTCAGGACCGCAAATAATCTGAATGACACTGAACTGCCTAAAAATCTAGAATATTCCCACAGTGCATCTATGGGACTCAAGTGAGTTTCCTTCAACCTTATTGAGCTGGGTGATTATTTTTCCTCTTTCATATTCTCTCAGTAATTTAACTCCCATGGAGGAGATAACTGTCTGACATCCTTCAAAAATTCATCACAGCGTCGCTGCTGAGCCCTCTCCCCGACATCATCCACCGCTGCGCACCCAAAACCCCCAGCCTGACCCGCTTGGACACACTGGAACCTTGTTTTACTCGTAGCCTAAACGAGGATTTCAAGATTGAGCATCGTAGATGCAGGCAGACTGCAGCGGCAGACACAGCATGGGAGATGCGGAAAGGACACACGACGGTGGAGCTGGTTTACTTACGTCTCTGTAGAAAAGCCATGAAGGTGATGATGCTCGTGGTGCTGAGGAGGGTCGACATGACTGGAGGCTGACATCAGCAGTGGATACTGGCTGCTGTGTGTATGCGTGCGTTACCTCCCCCTTCCCCCTTTTTGTCCATACAACGAGAAGGGGAGGGTGAGAGAATGAGGACTTTCAACAGAGAAGCAGCTCACGTTACTTTAATTTTCTATTTACTGAACCTTCGTTTTGAAGGATACATCCATACGGGAAGATTGACATTTAGATATCTGTTTCAGATTATTGAGTTAAGTACTGCTGGTACAAATAATGAAAACTGTGTAGGCTTACATACGGTGGGAAATGAGTTTGATTAGTTATTCTGTATTTTCTCCAATCTGAAGCATGTGACAGTTCAATTTTTTATCAGTATCATTTCCTATATATGATAGATCTAGTGCTGGGTAAAATCTCTCATAAATAATATGTCGATATTTTTAGCAACACCTTGCAGAATTTAAAATCATTCTTCACCTTCAAAGCTCTTAATGGTCAGGCACCATCTTATCTTAAAGAGCTCATAGTACCTTACTACCCCACCAGAGCACTGCGCTCCCAGAATGCAGGGTTACTTGTGGTTCCTAGAGTCTCCAAAAGTAGACTAGGAGCCAGAGCGTTCAGCTATCAAGCTCCTCTCCTGTGGAACCAGGTTCCAGTTTGGGTTCAGGAGGCAGACACCATCTCCACATTTAAGAGTAGGCTTAAGACTTTCCTCTTTGATAAAGCTTATAGTTAGGTCTGGCTGGTGGAGTCCTGAACCATCCCTTAGTTATGCTGCTATAGGCCTAGACTGCCGGGGGATTTCCCATGATGCACTGAGCTCCTCTCTCCTCTACTTTCTCTCCCTCTGTATGCAACCTTATCCCATTATTGCATGTTACTAACACAACTTCCCTTTCTGGTAGTCTTGTGCTTTCTCGTCCCTCTCCTCTCTCCTCCTGTCACTTCCTGCAGGTGTTTCTGGCTCTGGAGCTGTGGAGTCTGGATCTGTGGTTGCGGGTCACCTGCTGCCCCCGTGTTCCTGCTCGACACCCTCTGCTGCAACGACTATTGTTACTAGTCCTATTGTTATTATTGTTATTATAATCATTAACATTATGATTGTTATCATTAACACTACTATAAACATTTTTCATTTAGTCTATAGCAACATCACCTTTACTGTCTGTACCTCTGTGTGGATATTCAAGTTCATTTTATTTATATAGCACGTTTTATAGCAGCCACTGACTGACCAAAGTGCTTTACAGAATTAAAAGACAATAATACCATGCATAACAGCACAGCATAGAAAGTACAGCAAAGTTAAGAATAGCTTTAAACAGGAGTAGCCAAAGCAGTATCAGACACGTCAACAATAACAATAAAAAACAGAAATGCAAGTATCAGACTTAGAAAGAAAAAACAGCATCATACTCCAAGGAGAGAAAATATTCTGTAGGCTCTCTCCTTCCATCTCTCGCTCTTCTCTTTCCATCTCTCTCTCCCTCTCTCCCCTTCACCCCATGCCATGGTTCTGCTCGAGGTTTCTGCCTCTTAAAGGAAGTTTTTCCTTGCCTCTGTCGCCTAGTGCTGCTCTTGGTGGGAACTGTTGGGCTTCTGTAAATAACATCATAGAGTACGGTCTAGACCTGCTCTTTTATGAAAAGCGCTGTTGTTGTGATTTGGCGCTATATAAATAAAATTTAATTGAATTGAACCATGATACACAATATTTATCTCAATTTACACATTTTGTCTAAAATAACATGCATTCTCAAATAGTGCAAACATCAGTATCTTGCAGTATATGATGTGTGAGGCTGCAGGATGAAGGGAGGGATGAGCAAGTACTGTTCAGGTGACTTTGTATTGTGTAGCAACAGTTATATGTAAGTAACTTTGAAATAATTTAAGAACTGTGAAACTTAGATAAGTTGAATGTTAGAGTTTATCGCGGTTGTTTGCCAGGGTTCCAGTGGGGACCCTGTCTTTAGGGAGGGGGGGTGGGGGGTGACAGCCCCAAAGCCTCTGCCAGGTTGTGTGAGTGTGTGTGTGTCTCTCTGTCTGGGTTTTGTTGCAGGGTGAACTTCCTGGTGGAGTGGAGCTGAGGCCATCAGGCAGATAGGCGGCAGCTGGCCACTGTCTCCAGAGTGCATAAAGCCCGCCCCTTCCTGATTGTTGCTTTTTCCTGGTCCCCAGCACCACGGCGTGTTGCTTTGTTGTGCTTTTGTTCATTTAAATTAATCTGGCATTATGTTTTGCCAGCCACATTTTTTAAGCTTTAAAATGATTTGTTATATTTGTTAATTGCTCCTATTCACTGTAATTACGGTCAAAATTGCATCAATTAAACACTGTTAACAGCATAATTCACGACTTTGACCAGCCCCCAATTTGTTATGGCCCGGCTCAGAGGCCACAACAAAGAGAGGAAACCATACTTAACGGATTACCAGAAAAGGATGTTTATTAAAAAAAGTAGTTAAATTTAACAAATATAACAAATGATTTTAAAGCTTAACAAACGTGGCTGGCAAAACATAACGCCAGATTAACTAAATAAACAAAAGCACAACAAAGCAACACGCTGGTGCTGGGGACCAGGAAAAAGCAACAATCAGGAAGTTGTACATTATTGGAATCATATTAGAAAATGAAATTTGTGCCCTTAATTTAGCCAATAAGAATCAAATAATGCTCTAGCACACGCCGCTGCTGTTGTCGCGCTCTGGCATTCATGTTGCTGTGCCTGGATAGAGCCACGCAGACGGGGTGCAGCCAGGTAGAGCCAAACAAACATGTTGACGGTTCAGATGTTTTTCACTGTTTCAGAAGACAACAGCTCTTTTACAATACGGCATCAGTCCTTCCTCCTGTCCTCCTCCCCCCTCTCTCTCTGCTGTGATTCACGGCAGGTACCAATGTGCCTAATCTTAAGCTACATGGAGAACTAAGCTGAACAGTTAGACATCAGACAGCTTTCAATTTAGCTCGTTTGTACATTTGGCTATTTGCCAAGCTAACGTTAGCTGTGCTTGTATAAAACAGAGGATGAGAGACTGGACAGAGCAGATTAAAATAATGTTTTCTACATGTTTCAGTCATGAAATCAGCCAAGGTTAATCACGTTTAAAAGACTTTATTAGAAAAACTAAATGTTGCTCTTTGCAGGAATAAAAACAGATTTCAGTTTACATGAATAATTAAAAAATTGATTAGATAATTATTATTCAATGACATCCCGCAGTCTGACTGATAAGAGCCTCAGTACCTCCAGCCAATCAGAGCTCTCCTGCGTGTGTCAGGGTGTGGCCTCCCAGCGTCGCCGTCGTCTGTAGAGGTCAAAGGTCGAGTAGGCGGGGTGTGTACATGGGCAGGGCTTGTAGTTGGCTGTCTCCTCCTCTGGTGGGAGGGGCTTCTGTCTGACAAGGTCAGGGGTCATGAAGTGCAGGAGGTTGGGGCCATCTGCTGCCTTGTTGCCATGGCAGCGTGGGGTTGGAGCCAGGAGCATCCTATCCTGCAGCAACTGGCTGATCAGCTGGTCCTCCTGCATGTCGATGCTGACCAGTGAGGTGAAGAGATGCTGAGAGCGAGCAACATTCACTACTGCAGACATACAGAGAGAGCGAGAGGGAAGGTTGTGTAATACAAATATGAAAGCTAAAATTAAATCTAAAAACCCAAAGTAAATACAAACTAAAATTAATGAAGCTATAATTTAGCTATAGTTGACAACTAAGTCGTGTTTAAATCCGCTTTGTCTTTTTCACATCGCCCAATATTCTGATTTAAAATTTGTGAGCGAGCATTATCTACTCTGACTTCAAATTAGACAAATTTCATGGGAATAAATACAGGACAGTTACACTTGCATCAGGTAGGTTGGTCATTGTTACCGTGACCCATGCTGGTCGCAGGTTTGTCACACTTTGTGGAGGTAAAATCCAGCACAGGACAAAACACAATCTCAAACAAACATCTGCCCTAGCCTTAACCCAGCTGTTCACCACTCACCCTAGAATATAGAAACCTCAGGAGCACGCCTGGTTCCTTTAAGAAGAGCAATGAGAGAAATGCTGGCTGGGAGATTGGCTCTATTTGAAACAGTCTACTATACTAGCAGCACGTACGGATTATTGCTTAAATGTAGCATGCAAACAGAAGCAAAATCTGCATACTGCGCCCTACATAGCAAGGCAACTTGCGCTTTTCTAGGGCTGACCCCAAATAGTCGAAGATTCGATGCTTCGATGGGTGGAGCCTGATTCGACTGTCAATCTCACAGTCGAATCTTGGCAGTGGCGTTATGAAAGTAGGATGATACCATTTTGGCTATATAGAGGAGCTCAACGTCTCATTTTACATAGAACTACTGGTTTTCTCCCAATAATTTAATATGCAGCCCATTCTGATACAAATTCCAACAAATAACGCTATATATATATTTATTTAATGTCAATAAAATGTAATACTGTAAATAAAAATGTGAAGAGAAAGAAACTTTCAATAAATCTTTTTAAAGAGCGTGATTAAATACAAAACTGTAACCCTAACACACAAGCTTCAGCGGATGTGTGTGGCAAACGAGGAAGAGAGACCATCAGTTGTGCCACTTTGGGGGACGTTTGGATCAAAGTGGAGCTACCTTTTTGCCAGTCAACTATAGGCAAGACTTGACAATTCTGATTTGAACATAGTCGGGGACAGCCCTAATCTTTTCATGTGACAACACTGAAGAAATGACACTTTGCTACAATGTAAAGTAGTGAGTGTACAGCTTGTATAACAGCTTGTAAATTTGCTGTCCTCTCAAAATAACACATCACACAGACATTAATGTCTTAACTGCTGGCAACAAAAGTGAGTACACCCTTAAGTGAAAATGTCCAAACTCATTAGTGTTACAAGGTCTCAGGTGTGAATGGGGAGCAGGTGTGTTAAATTTGGAATTCTCGCTCTCACACTTGTCGGCAAATTTGTGAGGTCACATGTGAGGTTGTGTCCAATGCTGCTTGCAGCTTTAATTCTCCATGAATCTGCACAGCAACACTAAACTGCTGATTGTGAATGTGAAGGAGAAAATGAATAAAAAGAGAGCGGTGTGGTGGTTATAGTTGTGGTTTTATTTATTTATTTTCTTAGAAATGATAATGATTGTTGTCATAATTATTATATTTATAATGTTGCCGGGCTGAGGTGGAATCTGTGATTTTGTTTGTGTTTTTATTGACCCTTTTCTCAGACAGGAGTAGGGCTGAACGATTTTGGAAAATAATCTAATTGTGATTTTTTTTTTAAACCAACATTGCGATTGCCTGTGTGATGATGAATTAGGTAGAATTATTATTATGAGCAATGATGGAGAAGATATATCAAATTATAATAATATGAGAAAGATAATTTGAGTCAAGTCATGGCATTAAATAATATGATATAATATCATCAGGTTGGCCTAGCTACAGACCACAAGCAAAAATAAGTTTACCACAGTGTGTTATACAGTAAGAGCTCCAGACAAAACCCACAGTTCAACCACCAATTAATCCAGTCCATCTTTCTGTAGTAGGTTCAGTTCGAAAGATGGCCGACAATAAAACATAGTGACGCCTCTCATGTTTAGTAATTCGACAACTCCGGAGTCCCCCTCCCCGCAGCCTGCGATGCTGGCGAGCAACACACTGGCTGTAACCCGGGACAGACTGGGCCTCTTTCGGACCTGTGAGTTTGGGTTGAAACGCCGTTTCACAGATATTTCCTGAGCTGACTGGTGACATTTGTAAATTCATTATGATCAGCTGCAGGGTCTGATTACTAACTCACTTCAAATAAAGGGATGTTTGTCTGTGGAAAGAATTCAGAAGGATGAAGGATGGTCTTGTGTATCCTTCTAATTTCTCCCTGCTTATCCAAACAAAACTGGACTTCATGATGGTGAACCAGATCCACCAGAAACATGAAGTGCGTGTTTGTGTTTATGTTACCTTCAGTAGCTCTGGTGTTGATCAGGTTTTTGGTCCTCTCTGACTTCTGGAGAGTCTCCTGAATGGCTTTCTGGGAGTTAAACTCCGCCCCCTGCAGGACAACACATGCATTACCATGGTACCCAGCTACTAATCCGTTGTTAATAAGCGCTGTGATGATATTGTTGTAATGATTATGTTGTATGTATGATGCCTTGGCAATATTGTTGTTACACATTCATGCCAATAAAGCTAATTTGAATTGATATACTAACAATGAACTGAAAAACAGTGTATACCTGCAGTAACTCAAGCTCTGCCTTCAGAGCCAGAGTAGTGTTAAGCTCCGCCCTCTGTAGACAGCCTGGATCTTGATTGGATGCTGCGGCAGGAGCCTCCACCCTCGGTCTGGGTCCTCCACCAAGAAGAGGAAGAAAAAACTTTATTAATCATTCTACAGATCAGCGGCCGGATGGAGGAGGTTTTAAACACTGCATGGACAAAACACTTTTTTTTTTTTTTTTTTTTTTTTTTTTTTTTTAACACACGTGTAACTACGCTGGGGAAAAAAACGACAAAATGTGACATTACATCTGAGAAACAAATACAGTGCAGTCACTGGTGGAGGAGCTGCAGGACTCTGCGTTGCAGTTTTATTATTTGATAAATACGGGCTGATTTATTCAAACACTAAAAACTGATTACCATGGTGACGTCCCCGGCTCCTCCTCTGACCTCTGATTGGCTGTTGAGGCGGGGAGTCTCTGTTCAGTGTGATTTGAGGCTCTGATGTTACTGTGACGACCACTGGCTCTTCAAAACACACCTGCAGGAGCAAAACACGGTATGCTGTCATCGAACACACACACACCAGGACTAAAGGATGATGTCATTACACACATATGCTGCTTTCAAGTAGGGTTTTGTTTACTGTGTTCACGAGAAGCATCAATATGAACGCTGACCTTTTGTGGTATTCACAACCTTGGAAGTGGACATTTCCTAAAATCTCTGAGTTCATGAGTTGTGACACGTGTGCTGACGTTTTCAGAAATGGCCACGATTTCCCACATCACTATTTCCCCTTCACTTGGATGAGTCACCCAGGTTTATTTAATGACCCATTTCAGCGTTTTTGCAGAGAAACGCAGAGAGATGTCAACAAAGACTTTTTGCCAAACATAAACTCAGACTCCCTCAGTCAAACCACCCCTACTGCTTCTCCTGTACCGTAGTACCATTGAACCCATCCTCTTGTACTGTGCTACCTGCTACTTCACCATGCTCTCTCTCACCAATAGCAATACGTTTCTTAAAATCAACACTTCCTCCAAAAATAATTGGTCTTCCCATTCCCAACCTGCCAGCCCCCATTAATACTGCCACTGCGCAGAACAACTACCATAGTACAAAATCCCAGCCACCCTCGCAACTCACGCTTCACCCTTCTCCCATCTGGCTGTAGATACAGACAGCTGCTCTACAAAAAGGCACGCTTTGGGGAAAGTTTTGTACCCTGCGCTGTAAGAGCGTTAAACTCAGAGACAAGTTAATGATGTCACTCGTGTTATATGTGTAGATATGTGTAAATTGTTTGTATATGTGTACTACAGGTAGTTTGTGTAGTATTCATGTTGAAGGTGCCTCTGAGGACAAAGAATGAATCAGAACCTGAACCTGAGATGTTATCTGGTATTAGGCTATGTTACAATCCACGAACACAGTAGAAATTTCAAAAGCATGTACCAGGTAAAGCAACCTGATGTCATTTGGTACCAAGTTGGTTTCCATTGTTTCAATAGACTGCAACATTAACAAGCCTCCTCCACATGCGGCGCACCTGCTGCTTTGAAAACAGATTTGTGGGTGGAAAAATTCAAAAGATGAGTTCTGTGTCTTTTCAGCAACTTTATACAAATTACTGCTGATGGAGAAAGTCCACAGAGCAGACACACACAGGGAGAGAGAAGCTGGTGCCTCCTACACACACACACACACACACACACACACACACACTCAAAAGTGCAACCACATCGGCAGACGCAAGGTGTGAGCTTGTGGAATGCCTCTTGGCTGTGTGGGCGGAGTCAGATATTACATTAGAAACAATGAAAAAGCAACGTCTGGTCAAGCTCTGTAAACAAGGAGGAGTGTTATCCACATCAGAGTAGCCTCCGTCCGTGTTCGAGCAGTACATGGAGGCTGTCCTGCCAAAGACATTATCAGCAATCAAGTAATAGCCTGCTTAAGAGGAACATTCACAATACACATACTGCAACAATACATCCATTGTGAATTGTTCACTATTGAATAGTATTATACTATTTTAATATCCTACTCTTGCAATACTTATTGAAAATTGTCCTCATAAAAAATTGCACATTTGAATATTTCTACATGCATATTTGCATTATACATCATATAAATTGATTACTTTTTTCAAACTCCATGGATGGAGGGAGATGGATACTTCATTCATCCCTGAAGGGAAATTGCAGTGTTGCTATAGCAGCAGTTAAGAAATAAAATTAAACTTACACTAAAATCTTACACAAAACAAGCATTAGGAAGGTAAAAAGATACAATTAACAAATTTAAAAATATATATTCATAAAAACTACTATTCTACTACATACTATAATAAGACCTTTAAAGAGGTCATTATGCACATTTTCAGGTTCAAAATCTTATTTAGGGATAGGAGAGGCTGCAGGCGGACATCTTGTCACTGTGTGCTGCAGCTCTGGGTGTTTTTCCACTGGTGTTTTTGAGAGCGTGTCGGACTAGTCGCTAAGCGAGCATTATGACGCGCATTTCGCAGTGATGTCACAGCAAAGAGGAAGAAAAGGCTGGACTACAAATAAGGTGTTTTCAGGCAGTTCAGAGCAGAGTTTTCTGCAGGAGATGGGAACTCCCTTTGGGCTGGACTTTTTCACTTTGCAAATTACATGCACAAAAAAAAGAGATATGACTCAATAAAGGAGAGGGAAAAGCTAAAAAAGCATAATATGACCTCTTTAAAAGGCTTTAGGAGATGTTTCTCTGACTATATCTGTGCAAATGAGTGTAGAATGTGCCTCGTCAGAAAAACAGTTTTTCATCGACATAATTAAAGTTGACTCCTTAATAGAGCAAACCTTGTGTAATTATTTTGGTGTTATGGAAGAAAGAAAATATCATTTTCATACAAAACAATATCAATGTCAACCATGTTGTTCAAAAACTAAATAATTTAATAATATATTTTTTATTTCATTTCAATGTACTTTCTTGGTTGTTCTCTTAGAACCTACTCCTACTGGGGCGGCTGTGGCTCAGGAGGTAGAGCGGGTTGGCCGTTAATCGGAAGGTCGGTGGTTCAATCCCTGGCTCCCCCTAGATGCGTGTCGAAGTGTCCTTGGGCAAGATACTGAACCCCGAATGTATGTGTATGTATGTATGAGTGAGTGTGAATGTTAGTTTCCGTTTGAGCACTTAGGCTCAGTGAATGCAGATGTAGTGTAAAAGCGCTTTGAGTGGTCGAAAAGACTAGAAAGGCGCTATACAAGTACAGAGCATTACTCCTTTCTGTGTGGATCCCTGTTAATTTTCTGTCACACAAAGGATGTTTCAGCCTTTTTGTGCCAGTTAATGACCATGCTTTACCTAGCTAACCTGTCATTAGCAGTTAGCAGCAAACATTAGCTACATTTTCTATAATTATGTAGTTTAACAAACATTTTTAATAAAAAAATATTATTTATGGCTGAAAAAACATAACACTTTTATAGTGGTTCGGAAAAAGCTACCAATTCTGAAACAAAAACTTACCATGTGCACATCATGGGCTTCAGTACCATTATCTTTAATGGGGTCTTTCAACTAAAAAAGGCTGTCTGTTGAATTGAACGATTAAAATTAAAATATGGTGTCACACCAGAGGACATGGTTTTCAGTGACAAAATATGCTGCTACACTTTTCGAAATACATGGATGAAATAAATGATTGCCATTTACTAAAATTGACACTTGTAACATTATGCTTGAGGTATTTATCAAAATTTTTATGCGTGTCATCTTATTTTATAAAAGTTGTAATTTACTGAACCATGCTTGAGACAGCCACACCATAGGACAATTTAGAGATTTGGCTCAAAAATTGAAGAAATGTAATAACAAAGCGGTTTTTACAACAACAGGTCCTTGTAAAACAAATAAAGCTTTAACCATTTACTGCACTTTAAATCATGACAAAATTTTTATTCATTTTAATCTTCTGTGACAGTGAAATTGCCATGTCACGTCAACAACTTGCAGTGGGCAGGAATGACTTCATGTAGCGGCCTTTGTTACTGCGGAGCTGAAGCAGTGTCTGTTGATAGACTCATCATAGCCCATGCTGGATTTGAACAAGTGAACCAACCCCATCAGTATATTGTCTACTTTTCAGGTTCTTAAGGTAGGCTCTTCTTTCCTTTGTTCTCATAATCCAGCAAGTTCACCAGATAGCGTATCATAACTACGTCACTGTTCTGTTGTCTATGATGCCATTGGAGTAAAGCCCTGTTCACAATCAGTGCAAGGGAATTTTATATTCGGATTGTGAAAGGGCTGAACAATTAATTGAAATCGTAATATGGCCTATTGCAGGAGGCACAAATTATATATGCATGTTGTTTGTTTTCTTTTATGTTATTATATATACACATATGTTCAAATAAAACAAAAAAGAGCATAATATGATTTATTTGCATGTATATAGTACTACAATATGATGTCATCACAGAAGCCCCACCCCCCAAAACTACAATCAGACTCTTCAAAAGAATAAATGATCAGGGGATTGTTGCAACGTGGACCTTTTCTCTTGTAACACAGGAAGACTTTACAGCACCACCTGCTAACTGTACATGCTGCCATTAGCTAGTTAGCGGCCCTATTAGCTGACTGGGAGTTTGAAATACCGGGGAGTGTTGCGGTTTGTTTACACCACTAGCACAGATGCTTATAGAGGAGGTTTTCAAGCGGGGGATACTGTCATGGAGTGGCACTGGATAGAACCCCAGAATGGCAGTTGAGCCTCGTCACGGGAGCCTCCCAGTGAACACGGACCACAACATAACACAGCCTCCGAGACCAACGCAGGCTGTGTTCGGTTGTGGTCCGTGTTCATGAAGTTTAATTTGGAAGTACTGTACAGTAGCCTGTAGGCTATGGATTTACAGTATTAAACAAAGCAAGTCTCTCCCAGTCCAACTTTTTAACTAATAGCATATTCCTAACAGCAGCAAGGAGTTAGGTTTTTACAAAACGTGTTTATTAATGCCACTGGCTGAAATAAAATAAAAAGCAAGTAAACCCCAACTTTTGAACTAACATTTATAGGGAGCAGTATTAAGTGTTTTTACAAAATAAATGCATCATTGCTTAATCCCACTCTCTCCCAACGAGTGCATGCATCACTGGCAGTAGCGAGAGAAAGAAGCAGCCCAACACAAGAATTCCACTCAGAATTATAGAAACAGTAAAGGTGGTAGTACTACTAATAGACTAGGACCATCTTTAGTCAGGGACAGCCCTACCTGTGTGTTGCCCTTTCTTCCTCTCTGTTGTCGGGGGCGGGGCTTTGGCTGTGATTGGTCACTCTGCTGACTCTTCTTTAGGGGGCGGGGCTTGGGCTGCGTGAGGCCGGTCTTGGGGGCAGGGCTGAGTGTGACGGACAGGTCGAGTTCAGGACAGTGAGTCAGGGAGGAGGGGGAGGAGAGAGGGAGAGGGGCAGGGTGAGGAGAGGGGGGTGCAGAGAGGAGGGAAGAGGAACTCCTCATCCTGACAGAAAATAAAGTGGGTCATGTTAGTGATTTTCTCTGAAGGTCTCCTTTAAAGAACCGAGTCTCTGCTGTAAACATCATCATTACAGCTTAAAAATTAGTTAATACAATCACCTTTTATCAAGTTTTCCAGTATAAACTATGACACACAGCACCAGAGCCATCACACACACAAATGATTAAACTAAAAAAGTTTAAATAATTTCATTAATAAATCAAATAAAAAAGATAAATAGAAAATGGATGTAAACCAAGAAAAAAAAAAGGAAGTTTAAGAAAGTAAATAAGTTTGAAAAACAGATGAAAAAGAAATACCAACAAATAAAGGAATAAAATAAAAAATATTTTCTTGGGCTGCAAACATTAGGCTACATATTCTTATTCCAGCTTCTTCAGCACGTCAGAATTTGTGTTTCTCCCTATATTATAAATCAAAATTAACTGAATTATCTGTGGCTTTTGTTGGTCAGACATTTTCACTGTTTTATTATGTTTGCTGACCAAACAACTCTATGATAAATACATTTTAAAAAATGGTAGATTAATCAATAATGAAAACATTTAGTTGTAGACCTAGACATGTACCGTTAAGTCCTCAGACTCGAGGGCTGGGAGTAACGTTACAATCCGACCTGATATCAAATGACCTAGTTCAGTGCTTCCAGGTAGAGATAGGTCAAATTGGCCAAGTTGTTTTGTCATGTTACTTTATTATGTTGACATGTACGTAGCACTTTTCTAATATGTTCAGTGAGGTTAATAAACTAACTGACTGACACGGAAACACTGAAGTTATTAGTTATTTAATCTGTTAGTTAGCGGGTACGTCAATACGACAATATCTATTTAACTTACTTCGTCTTTTGCCCTGTTAGTGAACAGATGAAGCCAGTCTTTACCCTGCACAAAGTTAACTATCCTGCTAAACGGGTAAATTTAACCCTCAACACAGTTATGTGTTCCCACAAAAGGCGAAAGCCAATTTCGCGGGAGTTTGACCGCTGCTATGTCGGTAGTTTCTCACCGGTTACTGGACCTGGTAACTAACGTTAACCTCTGAATGAATAAAGGCACTTAACTTAACTTAGCTTCCAGTTGCTAACTATAGAACAGTAGAAACTTACTATCTTCAATCCTGACACAGTCCTGTGTTGAGTAAAGTTAACGCCAGCTCTGTCCTTTGTGTCTCTTTAGTTTTAATCTGACCATTTGTCTCACAGAGTTAAATGAGTTAAAGCCACAGTTAGCCGCTAACGCTACACATCACTTCCATCACCGTAGTTACCTGATTTAGTCCGGTCAGAAACGGTCCTCTCCCACAAAACAAACCCCAGACTGCCTCTCTGGAGATGGTCTGAACTTGTTTATTATTCGAAGCTGTTAGGGCGGAAATCATTAGTTTCTCTTCTAAATGTCCCTCCTCGTCCCCTTCTTCGTATTTTTTCAGGTTTTACGACAGTTGCGATACTTGACGTTGTAGTCTTCTTCGTCTTGAAGGTGTAACAGCAGCTGGCATCTTTAGTGTTGCATTGCTGCCATCTTGTGGAGTTAGTTAGCTCCTACAACAGTCCTGTTCTCCTCAGCGAGCTGGTCTAACATCTCCTGTCTTGTCCACTTCCACCAGACTCCAGTGTGCCCTTTTATCCCAATATCTTCATTTTCTTTCATTCCTCCTGCTGAGGCTGAAATTTAATTTGGGTGACTATGTTATATTTTTTAACAGTGCCTAGTTGTACACTCTCTCATTACCCAGAATGCTCATGTCACAATCAGAATCAGAATGAGGTTTATTGCCAGGTTCATTTTCACATACGAGGAATTTGCCTTGGTATATATTGGTGCTTAATAGCAGCTACACATGAACATAAATAGAAATATATATATAAAAAGTAAAGAGATCAAAAATTTACAAGTATACAAAATAATACAATAATACTAATGGAAAAAGAATGCAAAATATACAGGATAATTAATGTATGTGCAAGAATTCACAATATGAGCATAGAGCACAGTTCAACGTTGAGCGTTGTTGTAACGTGTGGGGTGTATGTATGTGTATGTGTTGGGGCGGCGGGGGGGCATATGAGTCAGTAATAGTGGGGTACCGCTGCAGTCGAAAAGAAAGTGTTCTGTGTGTTGGGGCGGCGGGGGGGGCATATGAGTCAGTAATAGTGGGGTACCGCTGCAGTCGAAAAGAAAGTGTTCTTGTGGCACAAAGAGGGGAAACAGTTTGTGTCCAGGGAGGGGTCAGCCACCTTTCCTGCTCACCTCAGAGTCCTGGTGTACGGGTCATGGATGGAAGGTGGCATCATATATATACACACAACACACAACACATAAATGCTCCGTACTTGTATAGTCTTTTTCGACCACTCAAAGCGCTTTTACACTACATCTGCATTCACACTCACTCATACTGGCGGAACAGCCGCCAGGGGCAACTTGGGGTTAACTAATGGGTGAGTGACCTGAGATTGAAGATCATGACCAAGCTGGACCCCCAAGTACAACTCCCAAGATTGCCAAGGCTAAGTGAGTGAGTAAGTACCCTCTGAAAGTCTGCTAGAAGATGTGAATGCAGCACTACATACTATCTCTACCAAAACCATAACTGAGACCAATGAGCTGATGTACGCCACAGCAACAGTGATCCTAGAGATGCTTGGCAATAAAATGAACACATGTCATGGTGACAGCCTGGCTGTTGGTGAGTGTTATGGCTGTATGTGTTTCCCTGTGCTGTGTCCATGTTTTCTGTCCTTCAGTTCTGCTCTGGGAGTGCTCCTGCTAATTACTGAATAAGGTCCACCTGGCCTTGGAAGGCGGGCTTTAAAAGCTGCTGTGCAAGTGTCAGGAGGGGACCCTTCTTGATTTGGGACTGCTAGCCTTGCTGCCTCACAGCTGGGGCATTTTTGTGTTGTGTTTTTGGTGTTCTTAATTTATTGTCTAGTTATGTTAATAAATTCCCTTGATTTGGTTGTTTTAAAGGTGTTTATTTGTGTTGAGTTTGGGTCAGTGTTGGGGTGTTGTTCGTCCCATGTTGCCACCAAAGGGTGGGACTTTCTCCTTTCCCTCGCTTTCTGGTTTCTCCTGTTCCCTCTCTCCCTCTCTCCCTCCCTCCACTCCGGAGCCCGGCTGGCTACCCACACCTGCTCCTCATTAACCTCCATCCCCGGCCTCCGCACCTGCCAGCCATCAACCTCATCACGACCAGTATTTCTTCCCCGGCTTTCCATTCCATCCTCGATCGATCGTCGCAGCTCCTGACTTGGTGTCACCGCTTCGTTCTGGTGAAATTTCCTTTTGTCTTACCTCCTCGTCACCTGCTAACTCAGTCTGTCTGTTTCCTCCCGCCAGGTTCACTCACCTCTGCCTCCCCGTTCGGCCAACCGGGCTTACTCGCCAGCCTCCTCCTCTCGCCGCCTCCATGATGCCCTCCGGTTTCTCCCCTTGCACCCCGCCGGGCCGCCAGTCACCGAGTCCTCTCCTCCACGTCTGCCAGCCTCCCTCAAACCTCCAGCCTAAGCACCTTCCGCTCCTCCAGCTACTCGGTCCCCTGCGTCCTCGTCTGCCATTCCCCTTCTTTCCTCCCGTCCCTCCTCGTTCCCCTTTCCCCTCTATAAACCTCTATTAAAACCCTCAGCGTTGCGTTTGGGTCCGTTCTGTCTCCATTCGTCACAAACACCATAAGCTATAAAGAGCATTACCCCCCATGGAGGAGGAGGCTAGAGGCCAAGATTAAGACAACAGGGAGAGAAGTTAGTCCACTCTCAGAGTTACAGAAAGGTACAAGGAAGAGGCTACCTAAGAAATACAACAAGCTGTCGATACCTGAGGACCTGAAGACTTACCGCTCTGGCTACCCGCCTAAAGAGAGACAAGGGAGAAGTAGAAGCCAGGAGAATAAACTGGATGTTCTCCACCGAACCATCCGAAGTGTACTCTCAGTGGCAGGGTAATAACACAAGATCAGATCCACCCAGGGCTGAGACTGAACAGTACTGGATGGTATCACAAAGAGGGAAGATGATCAGAACCGAGGGGATTGAACTACCAGAAGGCCACATTGCAGATGTTCAGGACAGCTACAAATACCTTGGGGTGCCGCAGACTAACGGAAACCATGAGGAGGCAGCAAGGAAGTCCGCCACAGCCAAATAACTACAGTGTGTGTGCTGCAGGTCCTGAATAGTCAGCTGAAACAGAAAATCAAGATCCGAGCCATCAACACAAACGCCCTGCCTGTCATCAGATACCCCGCTTGTTTAATAAACTGGCCAAAGGAGGAGATAGAGGCTACTGACATCAAGAGGAGAAAGTTTCTCACCATGAACTGAGGGGTTGACACCAAATCCAGCACCCTGAGACTGTACACCAAGCGGAGTGTCAAAACAAAGAACCAGGAGTATATCAGGAATATGGCCCCCAAGGTGAAGGGCAGCAGAAACCCAAGGATGAAGACAAGGAAGATGAAGAACCTTCATGGAGAGACAAGCCGCTGCACGGCATGGACCACAGACAAACAGAAGGAGTCGCTGATATCAAGAAATCCCATGAGTATGGGATGAAAGTCCCAAGGTCAAAATGGAAGACGCCTCCTAAGGTAGTTGAGAATGACCGAGCTAAGATCCTGTGGGACTTCAAGATCCAGACTGACAGCCTGGTGATGGCTAACCAACCAGACATCGTGTTGATCGATAAACAGCAGAAGAAGGCTGCAGTGATAGATGTGGCAATCCCAAGAGACAGCAACATCAAGAAGAAGGAACACGAGAAGCTTGAGAAATACCAAGGGCTGAAAGAGGAGCTAGAAAAGATGTGGAAAGTAAGAGCAACAGTGGTGCCAGTGGCGATCGGAGCACTGGGGGCTGTGACCCCCAAACTGGGAGAGTGGCTACAGGAGATCCCAGATCCTTGTTGTATGGGTGTGTGTTTCTGCACATGGGTGTCTGTTTTGTGTGTAAAGTCATTAAAAAAGATTGTTTAGGTCAACAATTTCTGTGTAACTTAAGTGTGAGAGTGTGTGTATGTGGCCCATTTTCTGGTTTAGTGAGCTAAAAAATTACTATTTTCACAAAAATCAGTTTCTTTACTGTTTTATTTGAAAGAGCCTGTCAGAACATTTTTCAAAAAACATTTTGCTTTGATTGCTTTACCACCCTTATTAGTGATGAGTGAAATGTACTATGTCAAGCTCACTTACCATACTTTTTCATGTAACACTCACCATAGAAACCTCAGACCTATCAACACTTGCATGTCAACCAGTGTTGTTGCAACAATGCAAGAAGATATGAAGCTCAAATCTTATTTGGCCCATTTTAGCTGTTTTCTCTAATCTTCTTTGTTGTGAAGAAAAAAAGAAAATTGATCTTATGTCATTAATCACAGAACTGAGAATAATAGCCCGGCCACAAAGATAGAACCATGGACCGTTCGTTTTCTTTGATCTCTCTGTAAATGCTGGCCCTTTGTGTCATTGTATTCCTGCATCATTACTGACTGAAGTGTCGCAAGACTGAAGTGAATCATCTATATCTCAAAGATCTTTTTTTAATGCATTAGTAAAAGAAGTCCGGACTGCTAACTTTTCAAATTTAATTTCCTCTTTAAAAATGAATCCTAGGATTTTATTCAACACTATTAAAAATATTGTTTGAACACTGCTCCCCACATTACCGTGTCTTTCAATCGACTGCAACATGTTCTTTGCCTTCTTTGTTGATAAGGTTATGACTATTTGGTCCACAATCATCCTGGCTGGGACTTGCCTGCCCAACTCTAGACCCCTTTCCAACCTATCAGCTTAAAAGATTTGATGGATATGATTAAGAAAATGAAGGTCTGTCTTCCAGGCATCTGGATGGACCATCTTCTCTAGTTTTGCCTGTTAATGTCCTCACTGTATTAGCTATCGCTAATTGTTCCTTGTGTACAGGATGCGTCTGTCACAGTTTGCTCCTCAGTCCCTTTCTCCAGCTACACTCTGCATTGCTCTCTGTCCATCTGTACCCTTGCCCCCCAAACCTTCCATCCTTAAGCTCTCCACCCACAGACTTTCCCTCCTTTCCCCATCAGCTGACTGTCCCACTCAGAATTCCCACTTACGACTTATTATTACAAATCAGTCATTCTAGACTTGCTCTATGAAAAGTGCAATGATAAAACTTCTGTTATGTGTTGGCTCTATAAATAAAGTTAAACAAATGTACTGCTGCAGTGTATTTGGTATTGTTGCTCTCATTGACTGTCTCTTCAAAAAAATCAATTTTACATTCTGCTGCACTAACTGACAATTTGACTTATTTCTGAGAAAGCCAACTTCAGCTGTGTTTACTGGCGGAAGATTTCAGAGCATGACCAGATGCAGCAGGAAGGAAGACGGCATTCAATTTTCACAGTTAAGACTTTATTTCATGAATAATTATGCAAACAAATGAACACACAAATTCTTAAAACTATGACTAAATGGACA